TAGTATTAATTACCGCCTAACTCCAGTCTAAACTTTAAAAAAAAAAAAAAAAAGGTGGATGGGCCTCTCCCTCTCCCTTAGCTCCCTTTATGATGCTAAGACTGGAAAAAAAAAGGCAAACAGGTGTCACAGGGAAAAAACAGACAACGTGTAAACACTGTGATATGTTCTAATCATTCCCAGCTCTCCTAAAAAATAAAAAAAGACCTAATATTCTTTTAAAATTTGTATATATGAATATTGAGCTCTCTATCACTATAAATATTCTCTTTTAGGAGTGGCATATTTTTATAACACTATAAAACAATTAATACGTTTATACTTTGATAGGAGAAACATGGACTTCATTTCAAAATGTCACTGTTTTAGTATTGTGAAAAGAAACATTTAGGTGTTGAGTATATACAGTAGTTAAGTGACACCTTAAATTAAATTATCTGTGAAGATCAAATACAAAAAAGGTTAAAATAGATGGCAGAGTTTAGGTCTATCTTAAATGGGTCTATATATGTTTATTGTACATACATCTAAATAATCTAAATATACGTGTATATATAGATATATAGATATGTATATACAGTATCTATATATCTATACAGTATAAATTAAGATATAAATACGAGCAGTGGCGTAACAATCGCCATAGCGACCCAGGCGACCGCTATGGGGCCCGGACTCAAAGTCGCCCTCCCCACATGCTATATGTGATTTTGGGGCCCGGGCACAGGGGGGCCCGGCCAGGGCATCCCTCTGATGCTGTGTGGGCCACCTGGGTTGCTATGGCATGTAAGGGTGCTGTCTGTCACTGATGCAGCTCAGCAGCAACTGTGAAGATCACTGACAACCTGTCAGTGAAGTGTGCAGCGGCCGCGGCGCGTTTCCCCTCTTTGCCGCTGCGGACCTGTGTCAGTGACAGCCAGCAGCTGCGGCAGAAGAGGCCGGCGTTCACAGTGAAGGAGGAGGCAGGGCCCGCCTATGAGCAACCCCGCCTCCTCTTACATCACTGGCCAGGGACGTAAGAGCAGGTGGGGCCCGTCGATAGAAGAGGAGGAGGGGCCCGGGACGGAAGAGGATGCAGGGCCCGGCGACCACGGAGGCGGAGAGCGCTGACAGGTAAGAGGTGTGTAGCCCATGTGAGACCATGCAGAGCCCACTATAGAGAGTCCATGGTGGGCTCTCCAGGCTCTCCAGGGTCACTCTCAGGTGGGCTGTGTGGGATCTCAAGTGGGCTCTGCAAGGGATATAATTAGAAATCACGGGGCCCCATACAAAATTTTGCTATGTGGCCCTGTGATTTCTAGTTACGCCCCTGCCTGTCTTGTTCACTTCTCCAAACTCTTCACCCTTTTGTGAATAGCCCTGTATATGTTTTATATAACTCTAAGGGGATTACACAGTGGATGAGGTGTGTCCTACTGTGAAATATTGATATTAAGACTCCAGAGAAAGAGTGAAGTTTCTAAAAAATAAATAACCACCTTGTTTGTCCTAAATAATATGATATATGTTACGTACTACTTTATTATCCTGACTATGTTATTGCAGAATAAAGATGCCCATTGCAGAAATGTAAACATTTGCTCTGGTCCATGTGTGTATCAGTGTGAGAATGGAAAAATAAAAGTGTGCATATAGCTTCCACTATGGCTGCCTTTCTTGGCCAGACCGGGATGCCCCAACACAAGGAGAAGCGAGAGAAGGATCAATTGTTTTCCCATGGTATCTCCTGGTATCAATCTGCACTCAGAATTGACCAACTACTTGGGGTGTTGGTATAAATAGGGAAAAGAGCTGTTTATTTAGTCCAGGAAACATTTACAGAGGGTGGGTTCATGGCTGAACATATTGCCACTACACCCATTCCGTTCTGACAGCACCCCCTTTATTGCAGATCATAAATGTGAATTGAATTGGTTATACAGCCATTATCTGCTGGTAGAGACAGAGATATGTGAGGAACACGTCATGGTAGTTATCAATACCTAGAAGAAGAGGTTCATAAAACTCTAAAATGATAACTGAAGGTGCCCAAAGGCGCCAGACCAGCGTTTCCAAACTTTAGTTAACTGTGTGCCCCGGCATGACCTTTATCACACTGACAAGTACTAATAGACAACAGATGAGGTTCGGCAGATATGACCGATAAAATGTATGATTTACGAGCAGGGCCGGATTTACTCTCCCTGCCGCCCCAAGGCCAGGTTCCACAATACGCCCCCCTCTCCTTATCAACGGAGAATGGCGGCGGGGTTAGTTTACATTTTTTTTACTGTTTCTTTCTTTTTTTTAAACTTTTGTATCACTTTTTATTTTTTTATTTCATTATTTCTTCTTATTTTATTTTTCTTTTAATTTTTATTTATTTAATTATTTTTTTTATCAATT